CATGTAGCACCAGTGTCTGAGCAGTAGATGGCCAGGAATTTGTGGATTCGATGAGAAACCAAAGTCCAGCTGGAGAGGATCAGGAGGGCTTCGACTTCTGACCGTGGAAGAAGAGGCCTCACGGAGCTCTCTGGGGCTGAGGGCTTGGACCTGCCTGGTGATGGGCACTGGAGGGAGAGGGTGTGGCTGGGCCAATACACATCACTGGGATCCTCCCAGGTGGATATGTTGAGGTTCTGGTAGTTGAACTTGACCTCCGAGGTGCTGAGTGAAGTGGGCAAAGGACCAGACCCTCCCCAGACAGCAGAGGGGGTCCCAGGAACCAGTTGGGCATTTCCTGCCCAGGTCCCCTAAAGCATAGGCCTGCTGGGCCTCGGATGAGCACAGACCTGTAGTAAGGGATAGGCTCTGAGTGTACAGATGTCCCTCTGAATCAGCAGGAGGTTGTCCATCCCTTGTCATACAACACACAATGGAAATGCTCCATCGAGAATTGTTGAACTGTGTCGCCTAGGGGGTAAGGACAAGAAAAATCTGCACCTGTTCAGTAAAGGCAAACTCTTGCAAACATATTTTCTTCTACAGTTAGCTAAGTACAAGAACACACGTGGATACGAAGGCTGACTGAGTATGTAGTTTCTTCTGGTGACAAGAGGATCATTAGTGGATGGCAGAATGGATAATCCAAGTGCCAGAGGCATTCCAAGGACAACTGGAGAGGCCCCAGGCTGGGTGCAGAGGACAGGGACACAGCAGTCAGGCAGGCTGTGTGCATCCTGGGGAGCCCGCTCACTCTCGGGCAGGGCAGTGGCATAGGAGGCTTGTCTTAAACACTGGAAAATCAGCAGCCCCGAGAAAAAAGGAAAGGGGGAGGGAGAGCCTGTATGGAAAACAGTAGGGCAGAGCCTTGGAGGAGAGCAGGTGGCTCCCACATTCTCCCTGCAGTCCCTGCGCACACTGTCAAATCCTTACACAAAAAGACAATTAGGAAACACCGACTCAGAAACTTCTTCTTAGTCCATTAGTTCTTTGCTGAATGATTGAGCATATGTGGAAGACAGGCCACGGGTATTCCCAGGTTTCCCAGGACCAGTTCCCTGGAGGGTCTGTTTGTGACAGTTGGGGTGTGCAGAAGCAGGTAAGTGGCGGCTTTGGCTAATGTGTGCAAGAGGTGCCTGGAGAGTCCCGAAGGAGTGTCTTTAGATGGTCAAGGCTTGCCAGGCTAATCCCTTCCCATCCTGGGACTCCCTGGGATGTGCAGGGGCCAGGCAGCTGGGCACCTGCAGAGCTACCCAGTGGGAACAACTGCAGTGTGTTGCCACCTTGTGGACACTTGTCTGTATTGCAGCTGTAATGTGAGGCCAAAAAAGGAGCTGATGRGGAAGCTTGTTTTTTTTTCTTTTTCCCTTTTTAAATTTTTAAAATTTATTTTAATTAGTTACACATGACAGTAGAATGTGTTCATTCATTTTTATATGTCATAAATAGATGGATACAATTTCTTATTTTTCTGAGTGTACATGTTGTAGAATCATATTGGTCATGCAGTCACATATATACATACAGTAATAATTAGTCTGTTTCGTTCTATTATCATTCCTACCCCCACATCCCCTCCCCTCCCCTCCCATAACTTCCTTCTACCTAATCTAAGGTAACGCTATTCTTCCCTAGTGCCCCCCTGCCTTATTGTTAACTAGCATCTGCATATTAGAGAAAACATTGGCCTTTGGTTTTGTGGGATTGGCTTATTTTGCTTAGCATGATGTTCTCCAGCTCTAACCATTTACTGGCAACTGCCATAATTTCACTCTTCTTTAAAGCTGAGTAATATTCCATTGAGTATATGTACCACATATTCTTTATCCATTCATCTATTGAGGGACACCTAGGTTGGTTCCATAGTGTAGCTATTGTGAATTGAGGTGCTATAGACATTGATGTGGCTGTATCACTACAGTATGCTGATTTTAAATCCTTTGGCTATAAACCAAGGAGTGGGATAGCTGGGTCAAATGGTGGTTCCATTCCCAATTTTCTGAGGAATCTCCATACTGCTTTCCACGGTGGTTGCACCAATTTGCAGTCCCACTAGCAATGTATGAGTGTGCCTTTTCCCCCACATCCTCACCAACATTTATTGTTGACTGTATTCTTGATGATGCCATTCTGATTGGAGTGAGATGAAATCTTAGAGTAGTTTTGATTTTCATTTCTCTAATTGCTAGAGATGTTGAACACTTTTTCATATATTTGTTGATCAATTGTATTTCTTATTTTGTGAAGTGTCTGTTCAGTTCCTTAGCCCATTTATTGATTGGGTTATTTGTGTATTGAGTGTTAAGTTTTTTGAGTTCTTTATATATCTAGAGATTAATGTTTTATTGGAGTGCCTGTGGTAAAGATTTTCTCCCAATCTATAGGCTCTCTCCTCACTTTATTAATTGTTTCCTTTGCTGAGAAAAAGCTTTTAAATTTGAATTCATACCATTTATTAATTCTTGATTTACTTCTTGCATTTTAGGGGTCTTGTTTAGGAAGTCAGATCCTAGGTTGACATGGTGAAGATTTGGGCCTATTTTTTCTTCTATTAGGCGCAGGGTCTCTGATCTAAGTGCCTAAATCTTTTATCCTCTTCAAGTTGATTTTTGTGCAGGGTGAGAGATAGAGGTTTAATTTCATTTTGCTACATATGGATTTCCAGTTTTGCCAGCACCATTTGTTGAATAGTCTATCTTTTCTCCAGTGAATGTTTTTGGCACCTTTGTCTAGTGTGATATAGCTATATTTATGTGGGTTTGTCTCTGTGTCCTCTATTCTGTATCATTGTTCTACAAGTCTATTTTGGTGCCAATATCATGCTGTTTCACACTTGGTTAACAGTGTGAACCAAGCTCTGTCTACTCCCTCCACGTGTGCTAGCTCATTTAATCTTCAATGTATGTTTTCATGTGTGCTATAGCTCTGTAGTATAGTTTAAGGTCTGATATTTTTTTGCCTCTTGCTTCACTTTTCTTACTAAGGATTGCTTTAGCTATTTTGGGGTCTCTTATTTTTCCAAATAAATTTTATGATTGATTTTTCTAATTCTATGAAGAATGTCATTGGGATTTTGATAGGATTTGCATTAAATCTGTATAACACTTTTGGCTATATGGCCATTTTGACAATATTCATTCTGCCTATCCAGGAGCATGAGAAATCTTTCATTTCCTGAGGTTTTCTTCAATTTCTTTCTTTAGTGTTCTGTAGTTTTCATTGTAGAGGTCTCTCACCTCTTTTGTTAGATTGATTCCCAGGATTTTTTTTTTTTGAGGCCATTGTGAATGGAGTTTTTCTAATTTCTCTTTTAGTGGATTCATCGTGATATATAGGAATGCATTTGATTTGTGAGAGTTGATTCTATATCCTGCTACTTTGCTGAATTCATTTATTAGTTCTAGAAGTTTTCTGGTGGGATTTTTTGATCTTCTAGATATAGAATCATGTCATCAGCAAATTGTGATAGTTTGAGTTCTTCTTTACCTAATTGTATCCCTTTAATTTCTTTCTTCTGTCTAATTGTTCTGGCTAGAGTTTCAAGGATGATGTTGCATAGAAGTGGTGAAAGATGACATCCTTGTCTTGTTCCATTTTTTAGCAGGAATGCTTTCGATTTTTCTCCACTTAAAGTGATGTTGGCCTTGGGTTTAGCACATATAGCTTTTACAATGTTGAGGTGTGTTCCTACTAGCCTTAGTTTTTCTAGTGTTTTGAACATGAAGGTGTGCTGKATGTTGTCAAGTGCTTTTTCTGCACCTATGGAGGGGATCATGTGATTCTTGTTTTTAAGTCTCTTAATAGGATGCATGGTCTTTGAAGTGAGGGGAGAGGCGGCCTGTGCACAACTGGTGAGAGCAGCGCCCTGGGGTGGGGGGCGGGGTTGGTGGACAGGAGTGATGGGAGAAAGGCAGAAAGGGATCTCAGAGCTGAGCAAGTCACTGGCAGAAGGTGCAGAGGTAACATGGTGGCCCCAGCCCTGCAGGGGCAGCACAGGGATATGCAGGAAGGGAGGGGTGGGGGTCAACTCAGGCAGGCAGGACCCTTGCTCCTTCTTGGCCCCTCTTCTGTCCAGTAACAGTGTGGACCCAGATCTGTCTACACCCTCCATGTGTGCTAGCTCATTTAATCTTCAATGTGTGTTTTCATGTAGACGCCATATCACCCCCAATTTAAGGTCAGGCACAGACAGGTTAAGCGACTTGCAGCAACTCACACGCTGGGAAGTGGCCCTGGGCTGCTTGGCCGCCTGGTATCTGGGGTTGCCTTGGAAGGAGCACCATCTGCCCACGTCTAGAAAACTTGGGAAAAGGCCTGTGGCCGAACACAGGGGAGCGTGGGGCAGCTGGCCGCCGAGGACGCTGGGTCTGCGCCCGGTCTCTGCCTCCACCGTGGCCAGCCCTGGCAGGCTGTGGGGAGAATTCAAGGGCATGCCCAGGGAGGGGGTGTGCAAACTTGAGGCCCCCATTGGAGGTGTCATTAACATTCACAGTAATTTCACATGCAGGGGCTACTACTGGGTTTCTGGATCAATTAAAAAAAAATTGAAATGGGAGGTTTGTGCCAACTTTAGACCCAACTCATGTCCACGTGCCTGTCTCTGTGGGCGTCAGATAGACACTACCTCAGCCATCTTAGGCCCCTAGACCCAGCGAATACGCAGAGCTGGGGTGGCCCCTTTGCTTTTGGCCCCTTGCCCCACGGGTGACACTGACAGATGGGACAACCACAGGCTCTGGAGGCTAGGAGACTCATTGTCACAGAGCAGGGAGTGTCACAGCCGAGTCCAGCCCTGACGCTGGCTCTGTCTCCCTAGTCTCTCTCCACATGTGACAGAAATGACCCAGGAGGCTCCCGGAGATGAAACCTCCAACCACTCAGGACTGGAAAGTTCTAGGGAATGGAAACGTCGGGCGAGGACCAAGCCAGGAAGCGGAAGAAAAGAACCCACCACAGCCAAACAATAAAATAGCTCTTTTTTATTCACTTCAATTCGGATCATTGGAAATATTCCACAATAAATAAAACCGAGCAGGGGCTGAGAGACAGACTCGCCAATGTCAGGTCACGCAGGTGCATCCAGGTCACTCACTGCTCTGGCAAAATCAACACCGAGGGCGCACAGGGAGGGGGGCGAGATTTAAATCACCAACAACCAAGGGAGGAGATGGCAAAGGAGAAAGTGCTCGATCAGCTTTGGCTTTAAGGGGAGTGGGCCAGGGCTGAAGGAATCCCCAGAGGTGGGACCCCAYGCCCACCCCTGTGGGCAGCTCCTGATGCGGGAGATTAAAGCTACCRTCCTGGCCCTGGGCCCCTGGCAGGGGGGCAGCTGAGGGCAACTTGGTACCAGGTAGAGCTGAGCTGGGGTTGGGGTCCTGGGGCGACCAGGAGCTGGAGGCTGGTGGGCTGTTAGGAAGGGAAGAGGCTGGGCACTCTGCTGGGCGGAGGCCTCCCAGGAGCGGCCCTGACATCTCCTCCCGGGTATCAGGTTCGGGGACACAGATCAGGGACCCTCATGACAAATAGGGAGGGAGATCTGACAACTTCAAAACTRGCTGGCCCAGGCCACGGGGGGATGAGCAGCTCAGGGCACGTGGCCACAGACTAGAAGTCCACCCTGGACACCACGGTATTAAATAGGGGACTGCTGCTGGTTCCTGGTAGGCATCCGGCCCTCTAATGGCTGGACAGTGGCCATGCAGAGCTGGTGCCCCTGGAGAAGCGGGTTCCATCATAGCAGGTGTGGGGGGGTGCTCCTTGTTCTCACGCTGCCTCGAGGGGAACAGAGAASCACGGGAGCCAGTCTGAACGCTCTCTCTGGTTCTGTTCCACCTTTGACCCAGAGGCCCGGTTCACATGGAGGTAGGATTGGCTTCTAGGGCCCTTCTGATGCCACAGCACAGAATTCCTCAACGTGCCCTTTACAGGAGAATGTCCCTGGCCCGACYCTGCTCCCTGCCTGGCTTCCTGGCTCCGCCCCCTAAGCCCAGTCCCCGCATGGTCTGCTGGACAAACCCTGGTTCAAAATGTGGCTTCTCAGAATGGCTTCTCTGTCCCGTGCTCCTCCAGGGAGCCAAAGGCTGCAGACCTCTCCTTTTCCTAGCAGTGGACATGGGCAGGGATGTAACGCAAATCACTAGCAGGTCAGGGGCCGGCTCGCTGGGGCCCCTGAAGGACTGGAGGCTGCTGAGATCTCGTGGCCCCACCTCGGTGGCTTTGGATTCACTGTGTGTGCTGCAAGCCCAGAGCTGCTTTCCACCCCCTGAGGAGCACTTGCAGTAAACTCTGCCTCTGGTGGACACAGAAGAGCCTGTTCACCTGCAGGTGGAAAGACCTGCTTCTCGGCCATCCTCACCCCAGGGCCAATCAGAGCRTTGCATTCTGGCCATGTGACTGGCTGCCATGTGGCTAGGTACCCACTGCTCAGCCAGAGAGACAAAGAAGGGTCTGCATTTTAAACACGGAGCCAACAAGGTCCTGATCTTGCTCCGACTCTTGGACTTGTGCTCTTACAACAGGGGCACTTTTCCTAGTCACATGCCCTCTCTGGGCCTGCTTTCTCATCTGTAAAATGAAGAGCTGAACCCGTGGGCTGGAAGGTCACTTGCAGCTGAATACTCTCATGGGAGGGAGGGAAGGAGAGAGCAGATGGCCACCAGACTAGCGACCCAGGCGGCATCCAGCCCAGATGCGGGTGGGCTGCAGCTCTGGGACCTGCTCTTCCGCAGTAGAACCCAGGAGGTCGCCTGTCAGCCTGAACCTGTCACCTGAACACCCAGGCTTTTGGGAGATGGTCAGGAGGGGCCCGGGGGTCAGCGCTCCTCTCTGCACCAGGGCCTACCTGTCTCCAGTTTGTCCCTGGGGTGGATCAGCGACCAATAAGCATCTGTGAGTTCTTTACACCATGGGTGACTGTGACCTCTAGCCTCAGAAGAGGCACCCAGGCCTCATGGTGACTGACCACCCTTTACCCAAGGATAGAGTCTCAAATATGGGAAGATTTTAAAGCTTAAACAGATTTTTTAAAACAAAACAAAACAAAACAAAACAAAACCACCTTCTGGATCCCGAATCTTGAGTGTCTATAAAGGGTACGGAAACTCTCCCATCCCAAAATGCTCCTATGCAGACTTGGGAAAATCACAGTCAGTGTGCAATTTCTGAGGTCCCTGGTGAATGGCCTGAAGCCACATGTGGCTCCTGACAGAGGCCCCCAGTGTCCTGTGATTCTTCCCTCCCCATTAGCTGTGGGGACCCTGAGCTGGGAGAGCGGGCCCTGTGGCTGCCATGGCTACAGCCTTCCTGCTCCACAGGGGCACGGACCTCCCCGAGCAGCACTGGCCTTTAGGAAATGTCTCCCAGGGGAAAAGTGGTTTTCTGATGGGGCATCGGTAACWGCAGCCAACAGTCCCTGTCCCCTGTGGTCCCCCCCTCCAGCCCCAGGGAGGTTTCATTGAGCCGGGAGTCGCCTGGCCTGAGACTGAGTTGGGTGGGAAGGAGGCACGTGAGGACGGGGTGCGAGCGGGGAAGCAGGAGGGGACTTCCACACTCCACCAACACGACCCTGGGCCGCCCACCGCGGGACCCCAGCCACTCACGTCCGAGGACTCCCAGGCCCTTCCTTTAAGCTCTCCGCCCCAGCTGCCGGGAAGCAGCGGAAGCTCTGTGGAAACCCAGGGGGGTCGCAGGTGAATTAAAAAACCCATCAATAAATAATCAGGAAGGCGACGAGGCGGGAGAGTGACGAGGAATGAGGAGGTGAGGTATGTGCAGGTGGCCGATCCGTGGGGACCCCATTCTACCCCAGGACACCAAGAAGGCGGCCGGCGTAACTGGCCCGCAGCCCAGGCCCTGGGGAAACAGGCACCAAACCCAGTGGTCCATGGAAACTAGAGTGGAGCTCCTTGGTGGATGACCGGTGGCCGAGTGTCATCCCTCATAAACCAGAACCCGAGTCCCCGCCGTGGAGCCAGGGGGTGGCTGGGAGTGCCCACCTGGCGTGGGGCCCTGGGTCTCTTCGGCCGTGCTTGCATTTTCCCCAGTACAAAGGCACATGGACGTGGTCAGGTCTGCTCTCGGCCACGATCAGAACCACGAGATTGATCACTCCAGGGAAGAGTTTGGGAAGAGGCCTCTGTGCCCGTGGGAAACCRGTGGCCAAGCAGCTGTGACGACCTCCAGGGTCAGAGGCCTGTCCCGGCCATCCGCAGTGAGCTTCAGGAAGGGATGGCAGGACGAGAGGCCAGGTCGAGAGGCCAGGCTTCATGCACAAGGCAGGTCTCGCCCGGTGCTGGCAGGGCCCAGTGGGGCTCTGGCCTAGAGGTAGCCGTCACCCACGCATCCCAGGACKCGTCAGAGAGTCAGGCCTGGCCAGCCTCTTCCCATCTTCCCAGGGGYCACCTGTCTTTTAGAGTAGGGGGTCTTCGACCTTGGTCCCCTCCACCCCAGGAGCCAAAATAACTTTCACTTGCAGACTGAGCCTCCCAGCACCTCCCCAGCTCCCCCAGCTCAGGGCAGCATTGGGGCTGCTCCCCCCTGGGACAGGTTCTAAGCCTCGCTCTGGGGCCCTGGCAGAGTGGGCCACCCTGCTGGGTAGCTGCTGCTGAAAATGGGGTGCAGGAGGCTGTGCCTGGCCCTGGGCACACCGCCAGGCTGGCCCTGGGGGCTCCGGGAAGGGAGAGACTCCAGCAAGATGCCCAGGCTGGAAATCGAGGTGCCACGTGTGTGCGTCCCGATCCCTGCGCAATGTCATCTCCCCTTAAAGATCCGGATTTTGTTGATGGCTGCCAAGGTGGCTGTCACGTTGGACTCAAAATCGGCATCATGCACCCCTGTCTTGCGGAAAGCCCCCGCTGATGGGTTGTTCTCCCAGTAGTGGTGCCAGTTCCCCTTGCTGTCTGCCCCAAAGCCATACAAGTCCACCTGGGGGGCAAAGGGAAGGTAAGATGAGACACAGGACCTGGAGCAGAGACTCCAGGCAAGGGACCCCACCCTGAACCCCTCGTCACAGTGGATATCCAGAGGTTCTAGAAATCCTTCTCCGGGTCCCCAGGGGCTCGACAGACACAAAGCAAATCAAGCAAAACTCAGTCCAGAGCCGCCTGGAGGCCTCGGGAGGGACGGCAGGCGGGTGACCTGAGGGCAGCCCTCGCCAGGGCAACCCCTTCTCCACGCTCCAGGGCCTGGGCAGGGGCAGTGGAGAGTGGGCTCGGAGCCAGGCAGGGGCTCCTGACCCGGCTGGCCCTGGGTGTGTCGGGTCCCTTCTCTGCACCTCACTTTCCTCATCTGGAAAATGGGCCAGGAATGGTGGTCACAGGAGGCAGGTGACAGGAAGGGGAGGCCAACATCTCCTGGTCTGGGGCCCTCGCTGGCCAGGGGCGTGGCCCCCACATGTGGTAAGCACTGGTGAGCAGGCCTCCCATGCCCAGCGCTGGCTGGATGTGTCAGAGCTGGGTGGCCCCTCTCTCTGAAGCCACCGGACAGGTGACATGGGAGTCAGCCTCAGATTCCAGGGAGTTTGTGGCTTATGTTGTCACCAGCTGAGCTCCTTGGAGGGACTAAGGCTGAGCTCAGGGCTCCCACGGCACAGAGGAGGCAGGACCCAGGACYCAGGGGTGGAGGATGCCCCTCTGAGGTGGAGACATTGGAACTGGGTCTTGGCAAGTGAGCAGGAAGGGGCCAGGTGGGTCCTCCAGGGAGAGGACGCGCCATCTGGCCTGGAGGACAGGTTTGAGGGGAGGGGACAGCTCTGCTGCACKTGCAGCTTCTCGGTAAGTTCCCCAGGGACCCAGGCTCACAGGAGGGCAGACRGGAGAGGAGCTGAGCAGGACCCTGGGCTGGGAGCAGCTGGCTGGAGTGGGGGGTGGGCAGCCCCAGGGGACGGGACACGGGGAACCTGCCCCTCAGGGCCACTCCCTGGGATTCCAGCCAGGGACCAGGCGGGCTGCGGGTGGGCATGGGTTGTCTATGACAAGCAGGGACGTCAGAGTACCCTGTGTGAACCCAGGGCTGAGGAGGAGGGCAGGTGTGGCCCCAGGTCCTGCTCCTCGGCCAGGTGGACACCCGGACCCAGGTGGGCAGACAGCTCCACAAGGTTATTGGTCCTCAGCCTTGGTGGGAAAGGGCACCTGTGGGCACCCGGCTCCCGCTTCCAGTGCGTCTGGGCCGGGATGTGCCCRGGTGCTGCCTGGGCTGCACAGACAGTTTTCAGGAGCACCTGAGGTCACGGCCATGAGTCAGCCAAGTGTCCCTCCCAGAGTCCACCRCCCCATCCTCGTGCTGCCTTGGCCAACACCAGAACGGACCAGAACCCTCACTCCTGAGGGCCACCTCACAGAGGGCAGTCCCTCCCGGACGTTCCCCAGGAGGCAGGTCTCCCGGGCCACGTGGAGACACGGAATCCRAGCCACGAGGAGCTGGTGGCCACCCTCCCACCCCCTCTCAGGACTGTGCCAGGGCAGCCCTGGTCCCCAGGGGCCTACCTCGTCGCAGATGTGCATGGAGAAGATGACCGAGAGGATGCCGGTGGACGGGTACCGCCCGTGGCCCTGGAGCCAGCTGTCGAAGACGTACTTGATGAAGGCCGGGTGGTAGATGAGGATCTGCGGGGAGGTCGGCCCCGAGGGGCTCTGGTCAGCAAAGGCCGCGAGTGCTACTGGCCAACACCATCGTGGTCAGGGGGACACGGCCCTGGAGAGGGCTTGCTCACATGCTGGGGGGAAGGACGGACCCTGCCTACACTGTGAGGTGGCGCTGAAGGGCCCCAGAGCTGGGAGAGAAGGTGACACTAGATAAACACCCAAGGAGGCCCAGGAGTGGGAGCTGGGGCCTCCCACAGAAGGGGTCCCACAGAAGGGGTCCCACAGAAGGGAAACAGCAGGAGAGGGACCAGGACCCCGCGTGGCTGCTCTGCCTGGCTCCGTGGGGCTCATCTGACCCTTCAGTGGCCCGGATGGTGGTTTCCCGCTCCTCCTGTCACAGATGAGGAAACCGAGGCTCAGGGAGGCACAGGACCAAYGCGAGGGATCAGTGTCAGGCCACGTGAGGACATGGGGGGACTTCTCGGGCAACAGAGCTGTGCACGTCCAGGGAGCCTAATGCTGCCTCCGGGAYTGGACTGGAAGGCAGGTCTGCAGTCTCTGGAGGGAAGTTCATCTCTCAGTCTGGCTTCCAGTTGCTGCCACCTCSGGGAGGCCCTCTGCTCTCCCTCCCTACAGACTCCTGGTGGTTTCCCCTCAGGGCAGGCACAGGGCAGGGTGTTGGAGGAGCAGGGAGACCTCAGTCCTAGCCCTCTCACCAGCTAGCTGTGTGTCCCTGAGCAGGTTAGGGACCTCTCTGAGCCTACTTCCATGTGACGTGTGTGTGAAGGGCCTGCGGAGGGCACTTGGTTTCCTTCCTTCTTTTGCCCTTTACCTGTGTCAGGTCAGCCCAGGAAGCCCCCTGGAAAGACGGAGCCAGCTGGGGCTCAGCTCAGAGCTGCTCGGGGAAGGCAGGAGCTGCCCTCATGCAGCCCACACCCCGGACTACTCCTCGGGCTCTGGGGCAGGTCTGGGGTGGCCCGCAGACGGCCATCTCTGCTGCTGCTGCTCTGGAGACCCCACTTTGAGGCCCGTGTGACCGGCCTGGGCTGGGGTCCTGGCAGCCTCAGCACCACGGCCACGCAGGGCTGCGGGAACCCTCGGCCTACGGGAAGAGTCCACTCACCTTGTCCTGCTTCACCTTGATCTTCGAGGGCACAGGGACGTAGGTGCTGCAGGTGGGGAGAAGATGGTTAGCATGCGGGAGCTGCCAGGGCACCTGCAGCCCCGGGGCGTCCACTGGAGAGCAGGGCAGGCAAGGCCAGGGGGGCCTCTCCATCCCACAGGTGCCTCCCCTGCCCCAGCGGGGCCGGCCAGCAGCAGACCCACTGCGACACCAGGGGGCGGCCTGGGCTCAGCAGGGCACTGTGCGGCGGGTTTCCCTGAACACTCAGGACTGGGGTTTGTTCCCAGCACAGGCTGAAGGACCACAGGGGGACCCGTGAGGCCTGGACCTTGAGGTCCGCAGTACCTGTGCTCAGCAGCTGGGCTGCTGGCTGGTGACAGGCGCAGGCTGATGTGGCCCCAGCTGGCCTTGCTCACCTGGGAGGTCAAGGGCACCAGAAGCCAGGGCTCCACCCACTGCCGCTGACTCCGCAGAGCCTGGGTCACCACCAGGAGACCCCTGCTGAGGCCCCCGGGCCCTGCCCCTCCAGCCCTGGACTCTTCCCTGCTCCCTGAGCCCTGGGGGCATGGGCAGCCCAAGCAGTTCCCGAAACCCGAGTTCCTGGCACTAACGGCTCCTAGGAGACCTGGCCTGGGACCAGGCGGCAGGTGGAAAGAGGAAAACTGAATCTACTCCCTCCCGGGAAGAGCTCAGGCCTCAGAATTGGACCCAAATGGCTGCCCAGGCACTGGGTCAAGTTTGATCTTGAGCAYGTGGTCGGGCCAAACCCTGTTTCCTCCCTGGGAGAATGGACCCAGGGAGGACCATGGCATGGGATCAAGACGATCCCAAGCTTCCAGTGCCCCGTGTGGGGCCTGGTCAGAAGAYGGGGCCCCTTCCCCTCCAGGAGCCATTGCTGCTGGCCCCTGCTGCGGGCCCAGCGTACCTGCCTGGGGAGGCAGAGGCGGCAACCGCAGGGCCCACCCGACCCCGTGCCCCAGGGCAGGCCCACTTTACAGCTCCTGGAGCAATGGCTGTGGCCCTTGGGAGCTGGCCAGAGCTGTGGTGGGGGTGGACCGAACATGTGTGCAGTCCTTGCAGCAGGGGACCCCGAGTGTCCAGGGCCTCTGGGGGGTGGACCTTGGAGGTCCACTCAGGAGTCCCCAGCAGGACGGTGACGCCTGGGGCTTTGTGGAAGAGGTTGGAGGTGGAGCCCAGTCAGAGCTCAGAGCGGGCCTGGCCAGGGGAGGCAGGAGGAGTGGGGGGCAGGGGCGTGCCCGGGGTCGGAGGCCAGGCCTGGCCCCTGCAGTGCGCGGTGGGGACTCACTGGGAGATGGAGCCTGTGGTCGTGGCGCTGACCACCCACTGCAGGTCGGTGATCTTGAAGGGCACGAGGACCATGCTGACATTCTCCGCAAGCTCCCGGAAGCTCTCGGGGTACACCAGGTGGTGGGTGGTCTTGCTRCCTACGTCGGCCTCAAACCCCGCCGTGGGGGCCTTGTTCATCCTGGGGGAGGAAGGGAGGGAGAGTGCTGTGTGGCTTGGGTGTCTTGGAGCCTCAGGGCGCAGGTCACAGGGTTTAGACGTGCTGTGACCTTGGGTGTGTCCCCTCTTCCTCAACTTCCTCCCGTGTGCAGATTAAAACAGGGTGAAAGGCTTTTGACTTGTCCTTTCTGATCTCAAGGGAGCCACCACCCATGGTTGACGGCCTCTCATATGTAACACCCAGCGGTCTCCATGGTCCTATATCATGGCCCCTGAGACCTGGGGTCGGACAGGTTGTCCAAGCCACGGAGCTTCCCAGTGGCAGCCTTGACCTCAGGTCTGTTTGACCCCGCATCTGACTCTGCCTCCACCACAGATATTCCCACTGGACACCAGGTACACTGAGAGCCAGGTCAGGGGTCTGGGGACATCATGTCCAGCCACAGAAACAGGGGCTTTGMAGGAGGTGGCTGGGGAGTGCCAGCCCACCCCGGCTTGTGCCCTGCCCTGGGGCCCTGGTGAGCAATRTAGCCAGGGTCGCAGGAAACCCAGGGTAGACTTGGGCCTCTGTGGGGATGTCTGTAACTTGGGACAAGGAAATAGGTTGACATTAGAAGCCTGCAGTTTGTCACAGCAAACGGGGTAGGAATTTGAAAGACAGTGTCTTCAGACCCCCGCCCTCTCTCCAGGCCTCCCACGCCAAGCTCCCAGGAACCCCGGGTTCTTCTCTGCACCCACAGAGGCCCTCCTGGCCCACTCAGCCTGCAGAGCGGAGCTGGGGGACAGGGGGGTGGGCCCTGGGTGCACCCCGGGGCTCCAGGATTGGAACCTTGGCCTTCTGGCCTGAGCCCCGCTGGGCCCTGTGTGCAGCCAGGAGGCTGGGGCTGGGGGTCCGGCTCTCACCTCAGCACAAAGTCGTGGCTGTCTATCTCAGGCCCGTAGGAGGACTCCTTCAGGTTGCCCGAGTTGCCCACGACTGCACAGCGCCGGCAGCCCACCAACCGCTTCTCCAGCAGGGGGTCCACGTTCCCGGGCACCACGCTGAACAGCTCCTTGATGGTGTCGTTCAGGCTGTTGGGCTTCTTCTCCCGCTGCAGCTTCTGTGGAGGAGGAGGGGACGCTGGGCCTGGTGCTGCTGCTGGCCCGGCAGACTCTGTGCCCCGGCCACCTGCCCGCCAGCAGCCAGCTTGCCTCGGCTGGCACCTCCTGCTGCCCCACCTATAGRCTCTGGAGGTGACAGAAGCTCAGACACTGCTGCCCACCAAGGAGCCCAAGGCTGCTCAGGGGACAGAAAGGAGAACGCCCTCATTCACTGCCAAAGTCCACAGACGCCTTCTGTGTGCGGCGGCCTGTGCTGACAGCCAAGGCAGGACGCTGGCTGCAGGGGAGGGCCCAGGGAGGCTGGGGCGCTGCACCCCTCATGGTCCCACAGCCCCTCACCCTGGCCCCCCACCCTCTGGAGCGCCTCCAACTCCCTAGGGTCCCAGCAGAACCTCTGGGGTTGGTCACACTCCTGCCTGCTCCTAATGGCTCCCAATTCTGGACGCCAGGTCCCTGGGGCTCCAGGCCCTGGGTCACACCTTAACAGAGCAGCAGGGGTGGGCTAGCCGGGCCTGGGACACACGGACTGCCCACCCCACCTCTGCTGCCCTCATGCTCCCACCCTCCGCAGCCCCAGGACTATTGCACCTCCCCATCCTGACCAAAGGGCGGCCACTTGTTGGAGGCACAAGGTCCTCCCTCGTGTTGACAGCACACGGCTTGCAACTTCTGAGACCAGCTCAAAGGCCCCTTGCCCCAGGACTCCTTCCTGGTCCCTCATGCAGTACTTCCTGGATGCAGTACTTTTGGTGCTAAAGCCAGGACAAGTAGGTCACCCTCTTGGTCCCTACGGCACTGCCCAGGTCTGAATGGTGTCTTCGGTGGCACTCGGGCCCTGGAGCCCTGGAGTACGGTGTGAGCTGCGTGGCACCTGGCCCACAAWGACACAGGTGAGGGAGGTGCTCTCAGCGAAAGGTCAGGCAACTTGTGCCACATGCAAACCAGGAACTGAAGCTGGGCTTTCAGAAACCCACCCTAAGTTTCCCCCAAACACAGCCCAGGCCTCCAGCCTTGCGACCTTGACCTTCAGAAAGCCCGGCCCCTGTGGGTGGGGGATGCTGCGCTGCGGGGTGATTCCATCAGCTACTACGCTGCCCCAGGGACGGGGTGGCTGGGAGAGGAGGAGGAGGCCAGAGACGAGGGAGATGAGTACAGAGGTCCTCAGGTGTCCAGTCCCCGCCACGTGGAAGGGTCCAACCCCCCAGGGAGGCGCGAGAGGAGACCCTACTGTTGCTCTGGTGAAGACAGCTTAGCATCTCCTGGGGCAGGAGACATGGGACAGGTGCTCCGGTTTGGACATGGATTGAGTGACCCCMAGGCTGCATGTGTTGACACCTAATCCCCGTTGTGAGGTCTTAAGAGGGTGGAGATTCACATGACCATGGTGTTCAGCTGCTGGKCCACCTTGATTAGGATTTAAAAAGGACATCAGGGTGCAGCCCCCTGGCTGAGTATTTGTGGCTTTACAAGAAACAGGGAGAGAGAGGAGGAGACCCACACATAGGCCATCTGTCTATTGTCACGTGCTGTTGCCTTGGGACTCCACTGGGAAGAAGGCCTTCGCCAGATGAAAGCCCTCATCCTCCAGAACTGTGAACCTAAACAGACCGCTTTTTCTTTTTATAAAATGGTCTCTCTCAGGTATTTCATTACAGTAATGAAAAATGGACTAATAAAACAGGCCACAGGGAAACTGAAGGCAACATTACCTGTAGCACGCGTCACCCCCACTAGCACCCTTATGATCTTCAAAAAGGAAGATCACAAMGGATGTGGAGAAAATGGAACCCTTGTGCCCTGATGGTGGGACTGTAAACTGGGACGGTTACTGTGGAAGACAGTGACTCCTCACTGGGGAACACAGAGCTGCCCCCTCACCCGGCCATGCCGTTCCCAGCTGCCCAGCCAAAGGAGTGGACACAGTCCTGAGCCAGTATGGGCCAGTACTGGGAGACCTACGCCCATAGCAGCACTGTTCACCATAGTCAAGAGGTGGATGGACCCATGGGTCCAGACGTGGAGGAGCAGATAAGCCCAGTGTGGCCTGAAAATGAGACAGAACATCATCCGCTGACACAGGAAGGGGATCCTCTAGGCTGCCACTCTGGGCCTCAGAACGTCACAGTGAACCCGCCTGACGGGCAGGACAGGAGTCCCGTGGAGGGGCATTTCCTGGAGAGTCAAACTCACCAAGGTAAGAAGACAAGGGCGGGTCCAGGGGCTGGTGGGGCGGGGGCAGCTGGCTTTGTGGTGCCGACTTTGGGTGGGGGTGAGCAGCGGCGAGCCACAGTACGCTCTGAGCGTGACGGTGCTGGTGAACTGTCCCCAACAGGTGTCAACGTGATGGACGTCGCGCTCGGCRTGCGTTACCACCACAGCAAACCCATGTCCAGGGTGGACCCCAGCTCTGATAAGATCCCTGGGGCCGCCCCACCTTCCCAACGTGCAGACAACCTCCCGGGGACCCTGCCTGTCTGACAAGCTGAGTGGCACCACTGCTCCTGGTGTCTAGGGACCACCCTGTGCCCCAGGGTAGAGGACCCCAGGCAGGCCCGGGTGGGAATCTCAGTGGAGGCCATCAGGGAGGGTTCCGTGTTCCCCCCTCGAGACCAGGTGCTGGGAGCAGCCTCACCATGTGCCCTTACCAGGGAGCAGGCACTGCGTGTGCCCGTGTCCCCAGCAACGCCGTTCCCTGGGCACCTACTGTACCGCACACGGGATTTGCAGGGGCAGCTGGGGCTGAGGGCTTGGGGTCAGCTGTGCGCCTGGCAGGAAGCACAGCCCATGCCCGCCTGGYGCCAGGGCAGGGCAGTGAGCGCTCCCACGGGACCATGCCAGCTGCGGTGGGAACGTGGACCACGGGGTGGAAGTGAAACTGTCCCGCAGACACAGTGGAGACCGGACAGCACCCCAGGCACCCGCCCAGTGTGTGCACGGCCACACACTCTACCCTCTCTCTGTCAGAACCAAGACTGGCCAGAGCTAGAGACTGGGGGGACCTCAGGCCAGGTGAACCTCGGTGTGCGGCAAGGATGGGCAGGGAGCCCAGCAGGAATGACCGCAGGTGCCCACAGTGCCGTGCCCTGATCGCCTGCCCGTCTCCTGCAGCCACGTGTGGCCCGCTCTGCAGGGACCCTGGTCTGTCCAGCTCTGCACTGGGAGGCAGAAGCAGAGCCTGCGTCGGGGAAGGGGCTCGGAGGTCAGCTGGCCAGAGCATGAGGACAGACCCAGGAAGAACTTGGAGGAAACCCGAGCATCAGCGTCCGGGATCTCACACACGTGGCACACAGGGGCGGGTCACTCAGCATATGTCACTGATGTCACTGGGGACGTTCTGGCCTCTCTGTCCCCACAAGGCTATTGATACGAACACAGGAGGGAGGTTGAGAAGTTCACAACCCTGTCCCTCAACGTCCTGGCCTGTTTCCAGGTACGTGTCCAGTCCTGGACGGGCCATGCTCACCCCACAGCACCATCCGGAGAGGCACCTGTCTCCCTGCAGGCGAGTCCCAGGCCTCCCAGCCCCGCCCTGCGCTGGGCCTGTAGCCGCTGTCCCATCTGCAGGCAAGGTGGCCGGTGGCCCTGTCAGTCCAACACCAGTGGAGCCAAGGTCAAGGCTGAGCCCCTGCCCTGTCCCTTCTGTGGCTGAGCACACCACCTCCTTCTCCAGACAGGGGGGTCCCCACCGGTCCTGCTCTGTGTCACATCCCCAGAGCCCACTCAGGACCTGGCGCTCAGCACAGGTTACCAGGCCAGGTCGAGCTGGGCTCCAGATCCACCCTGTGCTGGACCCCCGAGGCTCACAGGCGTCCCCACTCCTGTCAAGGAGGCCACGTGCTCCTCCCACRCAGGGTTCCTCACAGAAACGCCGCGAGGGCAGCCCTGCCTCTGCAGCCCAGCGCACTCCAGGCCCTGCCCTCAGCAGGGCGCRTGAGGGGTCCTGAGCGCCCCAGGCACGGGTGGCCACTTGCTCGTGATGCCCCTCCGTTCCCGCAGCTCTCTCACTCCTCCAGCCCCACGCACAACCTGACCCCTCTGCCCGCAGGGGCCTCCCTGCAGAAGTCCTGGGGGCAGCCTCTGAGGCCCCATGGCCAGCTGCTCCTCCTCGGCCTCTCCCCGCCCACCTCCTGCTCCACACCCCTCACCCAGGCTGGGGACTGTGAGTGCACTTCTCCCTGCACAGTGTCTCCTATTCCATCTGCATAGACTGGGCCTGCACACAGAAGTGCTCCGCAGTCCCACACAGAGGCAGATTTCTCACTTCCCTTCCACCCACTTTGCATTTATCCACCAGAATGGCCTTTCAGATGAAGAGGTCAGGCTCGGCTGGGTGGGGTCCCACAGTGGCTTCCTGCTGGACTTCCTTCACACGGGGTCTTCCTCTTCCTTGCACCTGCTCTCCTAGCACCCCAGCCCCCRACCTCCTCCTCCCCTCCAACACACCCGCCACCCCCAGGACTCTTGCACATGCTATCCCCAGGACCTGCAGCATGTTCTCTGGAACTTTTCATGCCTGGTGCCTCAGAGATGACCCTGACCACCCCATTTACAGTATTACATCATTGATGTCACTGGTAGGGGGATATTCTGGCTTTCTCTGTCCTTTGTGAATGGCAGTAGAAGCCCCACAAGGCTACTGACCCGAACACAGGAGGGGAGGTTGAGAAGTTCAGACACCCCGTCCCTTAACTTCCTGGCCAGTTTCTAAGTACGTGTCCTGTCCTGGACGGGGCCTGCTCACCCCCAGAGCACCACCCCGAGGAGGCTCCTGTCTCCCTGCAGGTGAGTCCCAGGCTCCACACTTGTCATGATGACACATCTCAGGTGACCTTCCTGGGAGCACTTCCTGCCAAGGCTACTCTGCTGGCACTGGGCCCTCCAGGCTCATGGGTTCTGCATGCATGGGATCAACCAACCGCGGACCCAAAATAGCTGAAAAAATCGCATCTGCACCAAACAATGTGCAGAGTGAGCAATAGAGTCCAGCAGCACTCAGGGGGCATTCAGGTGGTGTTGGGGACTATAAGTCATCTAGAGATGGTCAAAGCTCATGGAGGATGTGAGCAGGTTATAGGCAATGCCCTGGAGCATCRGGGGCTCACCCCCAGATATGGAGGAACCCTGCAGTTGGTTTGCTTCGTATCTCTACCTTCCCCTGGCAGCRACCTTGCATTCTGACTGCACCACCTGCCACAGTGAACCGCTGGTACCAAGGGGGCCAGGGGCCAGTCCCCAGAGCCCGAGAATGTGGCCTGGAAGGAGAGCCCTGCAGGAAGCCGTGAGGGACCTCTAGAGATCAGCCTGGACACTGGGTGAGCCCTGGCTCCAAGGACAGGTGCCCTCATGGGAGGAGAGGGATGGACACAGGGAAGCGTGGCCCTGCAGGTGGAGGCGGTACAGCTGCCAGTCAAGGGACAGCGTGCACCCCAGAGTCCCCCGCAGCGCCACGGAGGAACCGGCCTGAGGACATCGCGACCTCAGACTCTGGCCTCCAGCCCTGAGCGGCAGGCGTAGGTGGTCCCAAGCCCCGCGGTTCTCGGCAGCCCCCGGAGACGAGTGCCCTGGACTTGCTGTGACGCACACGTGGCAGGTGCCGGCAGGGCTGGCGTGTGGCCCTGGAGCCCCCGCCCCGCCCYGTGCCCACTGCAGGACTCACCAGCCACCACTGGTAGGTGTCCTCGTCCAGGAGCGCGTTGTGGGCGTTGAGCAGCGGCGGGCRCGTCTGGTTGAAGCGCTGGTCGAACCAGGCCGACAGCCCCTGCTGGCTGACGCAGCGGGCGCAGGTGCAGGGCCGGGGCCTGAGCAGCTTCCTGAGGTTCTCGGAGAGCTCCAGGACCATCTGCTTGGGGAACCAGGCGGCGGGCACCGTGGTGTGCGAGTAGTTGAGGAAGAAGGAGGTGAGGAAGATGAGGAGCACCAGGAAGGTGAGCACCTTCAGGGTCCTCCTCCGCACAGCCACCATCTTCGCTGTCAGCGGGGGGGCCCCGTGACTGGCGGGAGGAACCCGCCAAACCGAGCAGGAGACAGAGAAGGTCCTGGAGGCGCAGGGGCGATCAGAGGGAGGCTGGGGTCCCCAGGAAGGCCTCACGGGCTGTGAGCGCCAGCTGCACCCCCACGGAGAGGCGGCCGCCCCTGTGCCCTGGACACGCCCGGGCAGTGCCCAGAGCCCATTCCTGGGGCCTGGCTCTCAGCCTGCAATCTGTCTTTTAGGAAATAATGTGGCCTGTTTCTTCTACGATCCCAAGTGAGCTGATAATGTCTCTTGATGAAGTTTTAATTGAATGTAATAACAGTGATTTCCGCTCCCACTCAGAGGGGCTCAGGGGCAGTTAATCTTTGCGACAGTCCCGGGACCCTCGGGGTGAGGACCTGGATGCAGGGCGCCCCCCTGACTACCCTCCTCCGGAACGCGTGGTTTTCGGTGATCCTTAATGAGAGTCATGTCGCTCCATGCTGTCACCAGGGATGTGGCCGTTGGGCAGCCGTCTTGATGACCACACAGAGGTTGTCCGTCATCTGCATAGAAAAAGAGGAAGAAAGATGACATCCTGCCACCTCGCTCTCCTGCATGGCCCCAGATGGATTCTGGGGTCTCCCTCTGCGCATGGCCAACCTGGGGGGCTGTGGGGTCTGGTTTGCCCTCCTGAGCCCCAGGGTAGGTGTCTGTGCAATGGGAAGTTCCTGTCTGTCTGAGGCTACCAAGGCCAGGGGTGGGGGACCCCTCCACGCCTCGCCCAGCCCGAAGCTGGGACGAGGAAGCATTCAGCACAAGCCTGYGGGGGAGTCGGGGGCTCGGGGTGCACATGGCACCCAGGATCCCAAACACTTTATCCGACCACCCGTCCTGAACTGCAGCAGCAGAAGCCGCAAGAATCACAAGAAAMATGTCACCCTTAGCGCAGGGTCCCCGCCTCTACCACCACAGCTGGGCTTCCCACGGCCACCGTCAAGCTCTGCTTGAGCAGGGTGTGGCCGCGGGAAAGTCACTCAGCCTTCCTGGCCCTCGGTYTCCTCCTCTGTGAAGTGGGACCACCTCCCACCCACTTCACGGCTGTGAAGGGAAGATGAAGGAGGCTCGCGGAGCTGTCTCTCAGCCTCTGCTGGGCTCAGCGCTGCTTTGTCCATAGGAGAGTGTGTGAACGTCCTCGGTCCCTTCAGGGCCACCGTGGGGCTATCTCCAGACAGTCCTCAGAGCCCACCCCRCCAGATACCAGTTTCCCTGTGTGTCCTGGAAGAAACAGACTCAGGGATGGGTCACAAGGTCACAGGAGAGGAGGACGCTGGATCTAAGCCCCAATCCATAGCCCCCGCCCATTCTTGGTGGCCTCTCTGGACCACAGCAAGAGGGGGGCAGTGACTTCTGGGGCCCCCACTGGGGCCCTCTCATGGGTCGTGGCTTGGAAAGTCCCCATTCAAATGCCTCAGTGCTGTGGCAAGTTCGTCACTGAGATGTGGAGGTCGGTGTCACACTGGCAACCACAGTGGCTTGCGGTGGGAGAGGGAAGAGCTGAACAAGGCCCAGACAAGGAGTGGGAGAGGCCAGACCCAGCCATACTGCAGCCAGCCCCACACCTTGACTTTCCTGTGAGCTGACAGAACAAATCCCCACCTTCATGGAAAGTTGATTCTTTGTAACTTGAAGCAAAATGACTGACCCAGGCCGTCCTACTGTCCAGAAAGCCCAGCCCACTGTGCCTGGCTGGCTGCACCTACAGGGCTCAGCTCTCTGCCCGCACCGTCCACTCTCCTCCCTGGGCAGGGAGCTCGGGAAGGACAGAAACTCGGCCTCAGCACTGTGGTCCTGTCACCTGGCACATACCCTGTGCTCAGTGGAGTTCCAGAAGGAATGTGGAAAGGAAGGCCAACACAAGGTCTGGCAGAGAAGCACAGAGCAAGAGACAGAAGGTCTGATTCTCCCCAGGCGGTACCACCATGCACTGTGTGACCGTGGACAGTGACCTAACCTCTCTGAACCATTCATTCAACTGCAAAACAGGGCTGATAACCGATTCTCCTCAAGTCCAGCCCTTCCATCCACCAWGGTCCGCCCGTTGATCCAATTCATTCCCTAGAAATATGCTGGTCCTCATGCCATTCCAGGCCCTGGCTAGATGGTCAGGATGCACGATTGAGGCTCCCAAGGCAGCAACAGGCCCAGGGCCTTCAGGAGCAGGAGCATCAGGGTGGCAGGCTGCATGCGAGTGGGTCGGGCTGTGGAGGCCAGTGGGGACCGGGTGGTCTCTGAGGGACAAGGACCCTTGTGYGGGCTGGAGCACAGGGGTGACGTGGTGCCACACACCTGCCTTCATCATGAGCAGGGCTGGAGACGTCCTCACAGACCCCAGGTCCTCCGTGGAGATGAGGCCCCCGGGCCCTGGCTGGGCTGGGAGACTCCAGCTCTCTGGGTTGGTGCTGGGTGGGGTGACCCTATCCAGGGAGCAGAGGGGCGCGACCCCGTCCCTGCTGCAGAGTGGCCGCCAGCCCCTGGCCCCGCGGGAATCCTGGAGAGGCGTGGGGTGGGTGCGCCTGACCGGGTCACCGTATAGTGGGACTCAGGAGTCGGGGCTCCACCAGGGGGGCCTCTGGAGAGGATCAGCACCCCCTCCCCGCCCCGCAACACGGAGCTGGGGACAATTAGCAGGGACAAAGAGGACAGCTGGGAGCCCGTGGACGTGAATGAAGAACAGTGCGGAGGGAGGATGTTCACGGAGCCCCTGTGGACGGCGGGCAGCGCTCCCCACGCCCGGGCACCACTGCAGCTGCAGACAGGCCCCAGGGAAGGGGGCAGGCACAGCCAGGGCAGGCTCTGCCTCCAGGTGCCCACCGTGGTGTCGGTCACTCTGCCTCTGGGCTCTCTCCTCTTGCCATTTCTTGGGTTCATTTCTGGTCTTTCCCCACATGTTGGAAGACGCCCCTCTATAGGACCCCTGCACAGTCCGCTGGGATCACACCTCAGTCCTTCCCAAGTCACATCTCTCTCCCTTCTAGCACGTCCGTCTGATCACTGTTGACGACCTCCAGCTCTCTGAGGCCCCCTCCGTCCTGTCTTTTAGCAAGTGTCGATGGCAGTGTCTCCAAGGTCCACCTCGCTGCCCTGGGGTGGCTGCCTACAGTGGGGCTGTTCCTACCACCTGGCCTCTCGCCACCCTCTCTGGACGCCTGGTCCTGCGCGAGGCTTGCCTGGCTGTCGTGGACATCAGGGGTGACGCGGGAGGCTGGGGAGGGCAGTCAGCTGACGGCGGAGGGACCCAGGGACGGYGTGGGCTGGGCCTGCCCTCCTGGGCACCTGGCGTGCTTCTGCTCACCGTTCCCGAGGGCGCAGGCTTCTGAAGCCTAGACCTCCCCCACAGCCCTTCTCTCAGATCTCTGTCCCCTGTGCCGTGACATGGCCCCACCCCAGGGTGGCTGGTCAGTGTCCCCGCTGCTCCTTCCTGCTTGGTTTTTTAAACTCTGAACCCAGGTAACTCGGACACTGAGGACGCCCGACAGGAAGAACAGGGGTGCAGCTGTGAATTCCTCTGTGTGGTCCCCTGCTCCAGGCTCTTGGTCCCCTGGAACATGGCTGTCCTGAACCCACGCAYGTGCTCATCTCCCTACCCGTCTGTTTTAGCTTCTCAGCTTCTATGGTCTAACGCAGCTTCTGCCATAGCCAGACCCTGAAACCACGGTGTCCACCCCTGCTCCTCGTGTTCCTGGGACTGGAGGGGTGTCCAAATGTGTTAGGGGCCTGGAAAATGCAGAGGAGACTGTGGGGGCGGAGGGCCCTCGGGTGCCCAGCGTGTCTCCTGGCACCAGCCACAAGTAGACGGGGGGAAGCCCAGCAGGTCAGCAGGCTGCAAAGTGAGAGCTCAGCACAACCTCTGCAGCCACCACCTCCCTGTTCCCAGGGCCAGCTCTGGCAGCCTTCACTGGGTATCAGAGGCCCCCACACACACCAGCTACACCCAGCCCATGTGACTTCCCGGTCCCTTCTGGGTTCCAGCTGCTGTGAGCCTTCTGGTCACTAAAAACCAGATCTTCCTGTGTCCTGATCTGGGGGGACGCTGGCCGGCTGGCTGGCTTCCCGTGGTGGCACAGGGTGTGCAGAGTAAGTCTGGCCAGTGGAAGGAAGAACAACGTTTCCAATCCGCTCTCCAGCCCCAGCCTTGTCGCTGGACAGTTGGAATCCATCAACTGTGTTTGCATGAAGAATTTGCCAATGGATCCCAGCCAACAATTGTTGGAATAAAAATGTCACATTCAGACCCAAATTTAATTCCCAACCCTCCTCATTCCTGGCTGTGTGCCATAGGCCAGGCACTTCACCTCTCTGATCCTTGGTTCCTGAGTCTACACAATGGAGCTCATGATGCTCACCAGGGCCTCCTGTAGGATGCAGTGACTCGCACAGTGAGCAGCTCAGCTCTGTGCGCAGAGTAGGTGTGCGACGCAGATCAATTCTGTGCTTACTTTGGCCTGTCCTACTGCCAGAGTTACGTAAAAGATGGAGGGAAACCAGGCACCAGCCAGTATGCACCAGGCTGCAACCAACAGGTTGCCTCTGACCCACAGAATTCCTTGTTGCCCTTGCTCAGGGCTCTGGACCCTGGCCCTTCATTGCTTTCTGCTTCAGTGGCCAGGACCTCTCAGGAGCTGCCAGGAGGGGGTCATAATGCACTGGAGAGGCCCAGGTTTCCAGACCCTGAGTGCTCAGCAGCAGACGTGCCTCAGGACAGGATGCAGTGGCTGAGGGGCAGTGTGTGGGGGCTGCAGGGACAGACTCCCTGAGTCGGCGGTTCTCTCTGGCCCCCGAGTTCAGCTCCCAGTCACTCTGGTTTTCCACTCCCGGATGGCTGGGATCCTCTTCCCGCAGGCTCAGGAATGCTGGTGCGCCACCCTCTGGAGCCTCTGGGAGTTACAGCACCCAGCACCGGCCAGCCCCTCTCAGCTCCGGCTGCCAGTGTCCCACGGGCATGTTCCGGGCATTGTTCTTCAGTCTGCAGATTCACTGTCCCCATTTGAGGCCACAGCAGCCCTGGGTGCAAATGCCGTATCAGCTACTTCCTGGCAAAGGGACCCTGGGTACGATAATMTACACACTGTGCCCAGCCAGCTCTTCAAGACGGGCAATCACATGGGTTTGAAGCATGCATGGATGCCCAGCATGGCGCGTGTGCTGGCACGTGGAGGCACCGCACCCCCCCCCTCAGATGGAGATGCAGAGGCTCGGGGCGAGTCCCTGCACCAGGAGAGGCAGAGAGAGCCTGGCCCCTGTCTTCCTACCAAGCCCCGTGTCCTCCAGACGTGGATTGATGGCTGTCTCTGTCCCGCTCTTCTCTTTCCTCCCCTCCTTTCCTATCCACTGCACATCTGCTCGTTGCTAAGCCTGGGTTTCCAGGAAGAAGGTGCTGGCTCTGGAAACGGAGTGTACCCTGCGCAGAGTCCCTCGTGCCTCTGAGCTGTTATAGGGAGTGTCTGATTTCTGCTCTATTTCCCTATTCTGAGAATCGGCCCGAGGAGCAGCTGCGACCCAGTGA